CGTTCGTTAAAAACAGTTCCTCTCGCTTCTAAAAATTTTGGAGGCCGCTAAGGCAGCCTTTTGAGCGCACATATATAACTGCATAAACTTGAGCATTTCTGGAAAAGCTGCTACCTCTCAAATCCCACTTCTCTTCAATGAGAACTATGTCCAACTTTTCCTTTCAAGATTTGCTGTCGAACCCTGTCAAGCTGTAAATTGGCAGGATAGCAAATTGTTAACTCAAACAAGAATCCTTGCAAAACATACCTTACGGCGAAAGTAAGCGATAAAGTATTAAGCTGCTTAGGTTTTAGGAAAATTCATGCTGCACTAAAAACACAGATTTAGCGGTAGACAAAAATAATATTTGAAAAAAATTGTCTTTAGCTTATTTCTCAGTCTAGACATTACTCAGGATCATGCTGGGCTGTATCGGATACAGAAGTGATGTCAGATCGATTGTGCATAGAGACAAAAGGAAAGGAGAAAGTAAGTCTTAAATCAACTAAACCCGAGCTTTTCAAAGTACTCGATTCTTGGATTGTCAATAAGTTCTCAACTTCATATAAATAATCTGTATGCGCTGCAATACACTATCACTTACAATAAACCAAAGTCGAGTTTAAGCATGTTTTTACTAGAAACCTTCAAACTCCGTATGTTCTTCTATAATTAATTTGGAACGCAGCGGACCTCGCAACTGCAAGATCTACTCCAGATAATATCAATACGGCTGTTCATCAGCCGACATGTTGCATCATATCAAACTCATAGCAACAGTGCAAAAGCCCATTTAGCTTACTTAAAGATGCACTCTGTTGTTTAACTGCTCCCAAGCTAACAGGTTGTGTACACTTTACTACCAAAAAAGGTAAGGTATTTTCATAATAGTGTCTTGCAAGTTGTGCCATATCACTCGTGAAAGATCGCCATTCAAATTAACTGACATTATTAAGGTGCATATTTCTGATACTGATTTGCTCTCATGCTGTGGAGAACTGTGTGGCCGCGGGTAAGACTTTCCCTCACTATCTCATCATTTTTTCTTCATGAATTTATAAGACTGCCTACTTTTAACTACTTCTGAATATTAAGATGTCATGGAGGATTGACTAGTCGAGGTTGGCTCTATTTCACCATGACGGGCATTTGTAGCGGAGGAGGATACGCCGAGAAGGTCTACATCTTAATTGCTAACTACATAAATCATAACATAAATTTTGTTTTTGAGGATTGCTGCAAACCGTACGCCTTTTACCCTTGCGGAGAACATAAAAATCAAACCTATTATGGACCATGTCCAAAGGAGACATGGCCTACACCAAAGTGTCGTAAAATTTGTCAGCTAAGATCTCACAAGGATTACAAAGAGGACAAGATATTTGGTATGGCTTTCCATCATTTACTGTTCTTTTGGTTATGTATTTGCAATTCGCGAAAGTGCGAAGTTGGTTGGTCCGTCCCACCCAATACACCTTGAAATTCAGGAAGTGATTACTATATAATCGAAAATGTAACTAGTATCCAGAGGGAAATAATGACAAATGGACCAATGGTAGCACAATTCCGTGTCTATCGAGATTTTTCCTTTTATGAAGGAGGAGTTTATGTGGTACTCTCTTTTTATAAACAATATAGACCGATTATTTCGTACCGCTTCGTCAATCATATACTTACAGCACAAATGGGGAGAACAGCGAGGAGCACATGCAATAAAAATTATTGGGTGGGGAGTAGAAAACGGCACTCCTTATTGGTTAATCGCGAACTCATGGAATACTGATTGGGGAGAAAAAGGTATGTAATATTTTGCAGGCTTCTCAAAAAATTACATGAGCAAAGAATGATTTGAAAAACCTAGGGTACTTCCGTATTCTTCGCGGCGAGAACCACTGTGGAATCGAAGAAGTTGTGATCGGAGGGCATATTGACCTTGAAAAATTTGAATAGCGAGAGTACAGTTCCAGTAAAGTCTCAGCGAGCCTTATTTGGTGAATTATCATCATCCCTTAGTCTAATCGCCCAAATTTTGTGTAAATAACAGACCTCGGCGGCAGTCTCCCCAGGGCAAACTGGAATTCGCTTTTGTGAAAAAAACAAAGCGGAAATCGTACGGGGTCCGGAGAAGAGCCTGGAGGTCAACCTTAATGACCGCTATTTCCACAACAAGAATGTCGAAGCTACCTCCTCTCCCATCTCCCACACACTTAAAGACCGTTCAAAAACCTGCTATGGCAACGGTTCAATGTTCGTTTGAATGCGTGCGTTTGCGCGGGAAATTCAAAAGAGTTTCAAAAAGTTTGGTTAAACCCCTAAACCAGTAGGCAAAACAGCAACCAAAATTGGCATAAAGATGCACAACAAAGAGTAGAAGAAGTGTTTAAAAAATCTTGGAATTATGAGAATCAAAAAATTGCCGTACTTTTCGTTTTTGATTTCCAGCGGAGACCTACGGGAGAACTCAGGTCTTTGACACTTTTTTTTCTCATAATTTTGCGGTCCATATAGCAAACACTTTTTGTGCACTCCTTGTTCCAACTTACAGTGCAATAACCAGATCAAAGCACTTTCTCCCTTCCCTGCTAGGGCTCTAAATCATTTTATCTTAATGAAGACGCGCTCCAAGTATACAGCAGTACAGTGCTTGTCCTGATTGCACGCGTTGTACAAGTTACCAAGAGAGCTTCGTAAATTCCCGGATCTCAAGCAGGGTTTCGTTCTCGTAAGGGGCAATCGGAGACCTCGTGCCAAGGCCTGGTAGGTAAGACACATGAAAGCTCGGACGCAGGATTAACGCGTGGCGCAGCAGAACGAGTCCATAGTCAGCTAGGCCACGCTGTGCATGCGCGGGCTGTACGCGTAGCATCCATGTGTAGAAATATAGTTGAAATAGTCGAAAAAAATTTTCAAATGAACGAATATCGATATACTTTCGTTATAAAAATATCGAAAATGAATGATACATCAGTCGCCATCTCAAATATATTCGAATCCAAATATGCGAATAGCGAAGATCCTGAATGTCCGGCTATTCGAAATGATTGGGCACAAATTTTTTTGAATATTCAAACACTCGAATATGCAAGTAATCTAGTTATTCGAATATTTCATTCAAACATAATATTCGATCTCAATCATATTCGGATTTCACAGGCATTCGGACAAACGAATATTGGATGATTTTGCAAACATTGGAAATGGGTATTATATGGATCTTAGTTTCAACTATTCCAACTCAAATAGAATGTAGACGTTTCGAAATGCCCGACTAAATTATCCAAGTGCATCATTCTAAATGTTCGACTTTTCATTCCAACACCAGTCTCGGTCTCAGCTATATGCAGCATAGCATAGATCAATATGGTGTGCATAAGTGCGAATAGAGCACCCTCAACCCGATGTACCGCATGGTCCTGCCTAATAGTATCTAATCAGGCTACTACATAAGTCGTGGTAATTAATCCCTTCGAAATTCACTAAATAGAATTACGGTTGCATGCATTGTGATGTAAATTAATCGCAAGGGGAGAGGAACTAAGGTACCCGTAATATTCGCTGTAGCTGGCGCAGTGCCTGCAAGGCACATTCATACTGTAATGCGCTCATTATCCCGCGATGATTATACGGATACATCGCTACGAGTATCTCCTTCCCATAGCGGATTATTCCATTACTGCCAAAGAACGCTACAAACATTTGGGATATACATTGCCAAGACCCGCTCTCCAAGCCAAGCAACTTTGGCACCTTGCCTAGTGCTTAAAATTGTCCAATTCACTTTATTAGTAACGAATAGCAGGAAAAATTTACAAGAACTAAATGAGGCGTTAAGCAAAAAATAAATATGAAATTATTGGATAATTAGTAGGAAGGGTTATTTCTTAAGATTGTGTTTCAAAACGCCATGTGTAGACTCAAAGATTATTAGATCTAAGATGTGGAATTACTTACAATGACAAAAATTTATGAAGCAAGATTTCCTTACAATAGAAATTTTTTCTCAGCAAAACAGTGTAATAAGAAGTTTTTTAAACCTCTAATTCGTGAGCGATAAAAAAAAAACTAATTTACTTCAAAAGCAAAGCAAACAACTAAAGTTTTAAAGAACGAATTTTAATGAACTTCAAAAAGTGATAAAAATTATTGATTTTCCTAAACTCTGATGAATTTCAGTAACAATATAACTACTTCTAAATGGTTCTCCGCAAAAAGGATCAAGCACGATGTAATAAGATAAATGAAAACATGGATGAATCTGAGGAAGTGTTTGATACTGCTACCCGTTTAGATACGAATTCAGCAGCAAGATGCCGCAGTGGGTTACAGAGAAAACAATCTAGCAGCAATGTGAAATGAATTGTAAAGATATACATTACTCAGAACATATATAAGCGTTTTTTGTCACTAAAATAAGCAGCATAGTACCTTTTTATATCAATAGGAAAGAATCGATATGAAGTGTTAACCTTTTACAAATAAATATATCCGCTAGGCACATCTGCGGGTTAGGTTTCAAGCTGCGAGACATTAGTTTTTTCATTCCTTTCTCAAAAGTTTATAAAACTTTTGCTGCATTTCTCAACAGTCATTCCAAGAAGAAGAAAGTACATCTGCTTGTTATAGGTGAGCTACTCTCCAATATGATAGTAAACAACAAAAACAGAGAAATCTTTGTTCCTGAAAGAAAGTTGGTTTCGGTAAAAAATGATTGCCATGTTCGGAATCAGCAACTTAGAAAACCCCTAACTGGAAGTTTCATATTGATTCGTTGAATTTTTACTCTGAACTTCCATTTCGAATTACATCCAAAATAGTGTTCCTTTCCTGGCGTGCGCTTTCCAGCAACGGAGTGTTGACCGCTTAGAGATATACGGTACTAATTAGTGTGCAGTGAGACTCCTGACAGCTGATCTCCTATGGATATACGGCGGTACATGCAAGGGGTGCCTAAGTTTCCTCACCCCAATCGCAATTACCGAATCGCTACAACACATCTCATATTGAATCCAAATCAACTTAAGCAGCTGCACTTACTGCAGCCCCATTCAGGACGCCTTGAAACATAATGGATATGTGTT